AAATGAAATTTGACTAGTGCTACCAATATGAGATAGATGAATTTGATTTAAAAAATCAATGATTCTCCATAAGTCAAGCCTGTAGCTTAGTCCTGGTTCTTTCACTCAGAAGGCTGTATGTTTCATCCAAGTGTGACTGAGCCCCATACGACGGGCAATTTTGAATAAAATTCCTTTGAGGTTATCAGTATTTGTTTCTAGGAGTGATATTTCTGAAAATGTCAGTGAACGTTTGATAGGCTCATAGATAGAAGCTAGAGCTTTCTAAATTTATTTATTTGTTTGTTTATTTATTTATTATTTATTTTGGGTCCGGTCATGGGGCCTGAACTCTGGGCCTGGGCGCTGTCCCTCAGCTCTTCAGCTCAAGACTAGCGCTCTACCACTTGAGCCACAGTGCCACTGCCGGTTTTTTTCTTTTTTGCTCATGTGGTGCTGAGGAATGGAACCCAGGGCCTCATGCATGCAAGGCAAGCACTCTTACCACTGAGCCATCTTCCCAGCCCAAGCTTCCTAAATTTAAAGATTATTCCTTCTCGCCAGCATCAGTGGCACACACCTATAATCCTAGCTACTCAGGAGGCTGAGATTTGAGGATTTGAGGTTCAAACCCAGCCTGGGCAGGAAACTCTGTAAGACTCTTATCTCCAATAAACCACTCAGAAAACCAAAAGTGGAGCTGTGTCTCAAGTGGTAGAGCATTCACCTTGAGCTGAAGAGCTGAGGGACAGCGCCCAAGTCCAGCGTTCAAGCCCCACGACCGACAAAAATGAAAAAGAAAAAAAAAGATTATCTCTTCTTTCACTTCATGAAATTGCTTTGCATCCTATAAAAAGGCTATGCACAAGCCAGGTGCTGGTGGCTCACGCCTATAATCCTAGCTACTCAGGAGGCTGAGATCTAAGGATTGCGATTCAAAGCCAGCCAGGGCAGGAAAGTCCAGGAGACTCATCTCCAATTAACCACCAGAAAGTCGGGAGTGGCGCTGTGGCTCAAGTGGTAGAGTGCTTGCCTTGAGCTGATGAGCTCAGGGACAGTGCCAGGCCCAGAGTTCAAGCCTTATGACTAACCAAAAAAAGAAGGCTATGCATTAAGTAATTATATAGTACAAAGGCAATATAATACACAATTGCAAATATCATTATAATTATTTATTTAGATTTTTAAGTGAGATAATGCTTTATACTCAAAGTTTCATAGCCCATAATCCATTAACATTCATTCATCCATCCATAGGTTCATTCATGCATTTCATTCAGTTCAAATAATGTAGGAGTTGGAATGAGGAGAAATCACTGGGGTGTAGTGGTTGTCTGGAGGTCAGGAAAGAGAACATGGAGCTCCCGTACAGGAAGAAAGCCTCCCTCTGGACCTGTAAAAACATGCTCTGCTGAAGGGAGGCTGGGTACTACTGCTGAATCTATCACCGAGCAGATATACGCCTAAAGGCAGAGGACTAGACATTCTCTTCTGTTATAATAAAGCAATTTATAGCCTTTTCCATGTACGCAGCATTCTCATACCCATTACAAATTTGGTCCTCACTGCAAAGTGTCAGTTATTAGGCCTAAGAAACAATGACTAAACAGGTAGTAAGAAGACAAAAAGAGTCAAACCCAGATCTTCTACATCAGAAACTGCAAAAGCCTACTGCCACTGAAGGTAAGAGTTAGAAGGAGCCTTTCATTTTATAGGTGTCCAAAAGAGCCCCTAACTTACTATAGCTAGTACATAAACCCTGGTTTCTTTGTTTTTTCAACAAAGAATATTGCATTTGTGATATCCATAAATGTTGCTGTTACATATTCCTATCCTAGAAGACAAATTTTCTCTTATTACCAGTTTTTATTTTAATCTACAACTTGAATTCTATTACCTGTAAAGGCTACGAATATTCATGTGAACCAAGCAGAGTACATCGATGCTTTCCTTTACAACAAATCTGGTTTCTTTATCCCCAAATCAAAAGAAACTCAATGTCCTCATGTAAGTCATTGCTTGCCAAACAACAAACACTTAACCCCTATAAAATGCCAAGAAAGATGGCCAGAGTACTTATTCTATTCCCAGAATCTTCAGAGATAAGAGGAAGCAGCTCAACACAAACAGAAGTGAGGAGGGGCCGCTCAGAATCCTGGCCAGAATGTGCACACTAAAGGACGATATGCCTAAGATGTTTAATAATTTTTCTTCATAGAGAAAAAAAAATGCTGCTGGGCACCGGAGGCTCACGCCTGTAATCCTAGCTACTCAGGAGCCTGAGATCTGAGGATCACAGTTCAAAGCCAGCCCAGGCAGGAAAATCCAGGAGACTCTTTTCACCCATTAACCACCAGAAAACCGGAAGGAGGGCTGTGGCTCAAGTGGTAGAGCGCTTGCCTCTACCGACCAAAAAAAAATAAAAGCTACACACCTACTTTAATCAGCAAGACATCATATCATGAAGTATATTTATAGTTGAGTTACAAAGTTACATAAATAATCACATTTTACAGGAATGAGCTTTTTCTGGGAGTGTTTTTTGTTTGTTTGTTTTTTGGCCAGTCGTGGGGCCTGAACTCTGGGCCTGCGCGCTGTCCCTCAGCTCTTCAGCTCAAGGCTAGCACTCTACCACTTGAGCCACAGTGCCACTTCCAGTTTTTTCTGCTTATGTGGTGCTGAGGAATCAAACCCAGGGTCTCATGCATACAAGGCAAGTGCTCTACCACTGAGCCACCTTCCCAGCCCCCAGGAATGAGCTTTTTTAAAATCCCACCCAGAGTAAGAATCTATCCACCTATCCATCAACTGAGCCTACAAAGCAGCAGTCATTGCTCTCATTTATTCATGACCATCAGCTTAGAAGCGCAGGAATACTGACCTCACTCTCAAGGTGCTCAGTTCTATGTGTGTGTGGTAAAGAATTTTTGAATACATAGAAATTCATGAGAAGACATTTGTCTCTAAATCCTCATGGCAAGAAGTCAAGTGAACTACAAGAATCAAATCTTTTTGTTGTTGTTGTTGTTGCTGGTCCTGGTGTTTTTTGAACTTGGAGTCTTGGTGCTGTCCCTGAGCTTTGTGTTCAAGGGTAGCACACTACCACTTAAGATAGAGTTCCACATACAGCTTAATTTCAGTAATTAAGTGGTGATGAGTCTTATGGACTTTTTTGCCCAAGCTGGTTTCAAGCCATGATCCTCAGATCTCAGCCTCCTGAGTAGCTAGGATTACAGCCTTGAGCCGCCAGCACCAGGCTGAATCAAGTCAACTCTGAAGGGTAACTTATACTGCAAAGGATGCCTGTCTCGGAGAGCTTGTAAGGGATAGTTACAAGCAAATGTGCTTCCTGAGTAACAAATGAACTAAAGGAACTTTTCTGGTTCTCACTGATAATTCTGTGAGATTCCAGGAAGCAAGTTAGCTCACTGGGTTTGTACAACAACAAGAAGAAGTCCAGTGTGTACACTGGACTCTGAACTTTGCTCCTTTGTTCTTGGCTTCTTTCAGCAGTGGAACTCTACCAGTGGACAGGGAGGCAGCGGTAGCTGAGTCTGTGAAGCTCTGTCAGGAATGCATTAAGATTCCAAACTACCCACGCTCAGCTCTGCTCTAGCTCAGCTCCAGGAGGGATTAAAATTTGTTTTTAAATCTTAAGAGTCAACTTTTATAATAGAAGCATTTTTGAGATTCAGGAAGTTGCTTCAGAAAAGTGGGGGAAAGATCCTTCCCTCATCTCTGGAGAGGAGCAAAAGCCCCCAAACTCGAAAGCAAGCAAAAAGTGCTGAGCTGGGTACCCGAGGCTCCGTGACCCAGGAACCCAAGTGAGCATCAGTGAGCGCCTTCTGCTCGTTCAGCATTCTACAAGAGATGGAATTTTTCCCTTCTTTGAAAATACTCTCACTTACAATATGGCCAGTTCACAGAGACCCCAGGGTCTCCCTGTCCAGAACTTAAACATATTCCTGGCTCTGTTTTTTCATTAGTTATACCATTATAGATAAGAAGAAACTTTAATACTGATCTGCTTGTAATTATCTGAATTCCTACAAGCAAATAGAAGTCCTTTGTATAAACCTGGGACTATGAGCAATTTCAAAATTAACAAGAGCAAAAAATATTTTGAGAGCCGGGCGCTGGTGGCTCACGCCTGTAATCCTAGCTACTCAGGAGGCTGAGATCTGAGGATCGCGGTTCAAAGCCAGCCCGGGCAGGAGAGACCGTGAGACTCCTATCTCCAATAAACCACCAGAAAACCGGAAGTGGCACTGTAGCTCAAGTGGTAGAGCGCTCGCCTTGAGCTGAAGAGCGGAGGGACAGCGCCCAGGCCCAGAGTTCAAGCCCCACGACCGACAAAAAAAAAAAAAAAAATTTTTTTTGAAAAGTATTGATAGTGTCACAGAGTATCCATCAGTGCCATTGTATGTACCAATGTTCCAGTCCTACCGTATGTAATGCCTACTCTGTGGTCTTCTTCAAACACTACCATCCAGCACACTTCATTGGACACTAAGATCAGTGTTCGCAGTGAAATGTGGCCTTTGCCCCCAGCTGCTCTGGACTTCTGCTGGTCTTCCTCGGGCCTTTCTGAAAGAGCTTCCAAGTTTCTTCTACCTTTTTGTCCAAACATCTTTAAGACTGGCTATTATTAAATGATTTTCTTTCTTTTTGTCCTCCCTTCCTCTGCCCTTTGTTTTGGTATTTGTGATTAAATCCAAGGCCTCATGTTCTAAGTAACTGTTCCACCACTTAGCTACTTACTATACCTCCAGAATACTGCTTGGCATTCTGGGGAAGAAACCAGAAAAAATTTGTCCTTCCGTTTACATTTTAATGACTTTCTTTTTAATGCAGCATGTATTTATTTTTTTATTTTTTTGGGGGGTCCGGTTGTGAGGCCTGAACTCTGGGCCTAGGCGCTGTCCCTCAGCTCTTCAGCTCAAGGCTAGCGCTCTACCACTTGAGCCACAGCGCCACTTCCGGCTTTTTTCTTTTTGCTTATGTGGTGCTGAGGAATTGAACCCAGGGCCTCAGGCATGCAAGGCAAGTGCTCTACCACTGAGCTACCTTCCCAGCCCTGCAGCATGTATTTTTTATTGCAATGAAAAAGCAATATTAGAGCAGAACTTATAGCATGTTTTTGCTGCCTTGACCTCCAAGTGCTGGGATTGTAGACTTATGCTCTCACGTTCAGTTGATCTGAAACTTGCCCTCTAGACCAGGCTGGCCTGGAACTGATCCTCCAGTCTTGATCTGCATGCCGGCAGTGCAGGTGTGCACCACCACACCCGGTGTCTGGATGCCACAAGTGAACAGTGAACAGTGAACAGTGTAAGGGTGAATGGTCCTATTGCCTCACCCCTACCTTGATAAAGGGATTCCTTGCATTGTTTTGCCTCTTGTACTCCACCAGCTCCAGGCCTCTGCCTCTAACGTAACACCCCTGTCTGAAATCTGTATACGTGCACACAAGCACGTTGTTTTTACCAGAACAGGCCACCTGCACAGGGCATGCCTGGAATTCTGGTCACCCAAGTTCCTTGATAATTACTAGCAGGGATTTTTCTAAAACTTCCCTATCTAAACCGGCAAAGTTGAACTATATTGCCCAAAACCACTTAAAGCTAACTCCAGAATTCTGATTTAATATATCTATCATATCAGAAGGAATTTTTCAAAAGAAGAAACATACATTTCTCTTCTTTCCTATTATATACTTAGTTATATACATAAACTTTTCTCTGTAACTTTCATGGTTTAAAGATGAAACAATTTTTTTAAGATCCCATTCTTTATTACTGCTGTTGTTTTATGTGTGAATTGAGGTTTCACCACACCCTAGACTGGTCTTCACTCACTATCCTCCTGCTGCAGCCTCCGAAGTGCTAGGATCACAGGTGTGCACCACCACACCCAGTTTGTGTGGCTGAGGAATCAAACTCAGGGCTTTGTTCACAGTAGGCAAGTGCTAAACCACTGCACTACATCCCCAGCCCAACAGAATAGCCTCAAAACTCAAGTCAGTCTTCCATAGAACAAAAGGACTCCAGGCACAGAGGAAGCAGAAGATAGGAGAGGAGGGACAGTAAGACTACAGGTAGCCCTTCTGACATGAAATACTTGGAGGGGAAGGACTAGAAGGCTGTTCCAGGGAGGGACAAGAGGTAAAGTCATGGCTTAGTCCCTTGGACTCTTGGTAGCTCTCGGCATGGGGAATTTGAAAGAACTGCTCAGAAGAGAGAGGTCCCACCTTCTTGGGAAAACATGGTGCTACACTCGCCAAGGGGTAGGAATGGAGACAGAGGCAGTCAGCTGCTAAAAGCTGAGTGTTATCTATAAAACTTAAGATAACAAAAAGCTTTGATTTGTAAACTTACACTCATAAATACAATCTCTCAAAATAGAATTCAGTGCATTCTTCAACAAGTCTTTTCAACAGTGATAGACAGTCCTTCCACTGGAATCAGTGCTGTTAAATAGCAATGTACTACGTAGCCATTTTCCAAAGCAACGGTATAGTTGAGAAAAAGTATTCTGAGGAGAGTGATTAATACTGCTGCTGGAGGGAGCACACAGTTAGGGTCGGAGGAGCTTACTGAGGATTGCATCATAGTAGGGGCAGAAGACCATCTTGTTATAGTTGACCAGGCGAACGAACCTCACAGCAACTTCCTCCAGCTCTCTCTGAATGGGACTCAATCCCCCAGGCACAGTGGGCAATGGCTTCTGCTGACCAGAGGCAAGGTAGGTTTCCAGGAAGGTGATGATTCGGGACTCTGCAAGGCAGAAGGGGCATTAGCAGCTTCTCATTCAAGATGACCTGACAAACTTCTCATTAGGCTTCAGTACTAATGAGAAATTCTTTCCTATCATCTCCAGCTCACGCACTCAGCATCTTGTACTTCTGAGCATTTGTCCCAGCTGTAATGTGGACCTCCTGCTCCACAGTTTCAAGAAGACAGAAACTAGGCCTAGCACAGTCACATCCTCTCCGTAGCCCTCACGATGCCTGGAACATGAGGCTGCTCCCTAGGAGAAGTTCAAACCCATGTGCAATTAAGAATGCCTGTAGAGGGGCTGGGAAGGTGGCTCAGTGGTAGAGTGCTTGCCTTGCATGCCTGAGGCCCTGGGTTCCATTTCTCAGCACCACATAAGCAAAAAGAAAAAACTCGGAAGTGGCGCTGTGGCTCAAGTGGTAGAGCGCTCGCCTTGAGCTGAAGAGCACAGGGACAGCGCCCAGGCCCAGAGTTCAAGCCCCACGACCAACAAAAAAAAAAAAAAGATTGCCTGTGGATGACCAAAGAGCAACTGGGATGATGGCATGTTCCACCCTCAGCCATTGTTCAAAACAACATACCAAGGAAAATACAGCAGGAATCACAGAGCCAAAACAGACAAGAGGGCGGGGTGTGCAGCTCCAGAGAGCACGAACCAGGCCACGGGTTCAATCCCCACCCCTGGAAGGAAAGGAAGAGACAGAAACAAGGAAGAAGAGGGGGAGGAGGAGCCACTGAACTCGTGATGTCCCTTTTCCTGCTAAGTCCACATGAAAGAAGCAGGAGCTCCTTTTTTGTTTTGTTTTTTTTCTGGTTGTGGGCTTGAACTCTGGGCTTGGGCGCTGTCACTGCACTTTTTTTTTTTGGTCGCTTGTGGGGCTTGAACTCTGGGCCTGCATGCTGTCCCTTAGCTCTTCAGCTCAAGGTTAGCACTCTACCACTTGAGCCACAATGCCACTTCCGGATTTCTGTGGTTTATTGGAGATAAGAGTCTTCTGGACTTTGCTGCCAGACTGGCTTTGAACCACGATCCTCACATCTCAGTCTCCTGAGTAGCTAAGATTACAGGCCTGAGCCACCAGCGCCTGCTATGAGCTCCATTCTTTGGCACCTACAGTGAAAGTCCAGACACTGGAGTAAGTCACTACCATTGAAGCCTTGTCCTACTTAAGATTATGGATGAATATTTTAATATCATTCATGTTTTACACTCTCCTGTATAGCCTTACAAAACAAAGAAACATTCAGTGTTGGGTGCTAGTGACTCACGTCTGTAATCCTAGCTACTCAAGAGGCTGAGATATGAGGATAGAGATTCTGAAGCCAGCTCAGGGAAGCAAAGTCTCTTAAGAATGTCTGTAAGACTCTTCAACTGATAGAAAAAAACAGGAAGTGGTGTTGTGACTCCAGAGGCAGAATGCCAGCCTACAGCGAAAAACCTACAGGACACAGCACCCAGGCCCCAGTACCTATACACACACACATACACACACACACACACACATATATACATACATATATACATACATACATACATACCCATGATCCTGCGAATGGGGTCCTCAGGGCTGGCCACAGCTAGAATCTGGCCCTTGAGCACAGTCTCCTTGTCCGTGGAGAATGGGGAGAAGCCGCACTGGGAGAGGCGGCTGCTCACCTCCAGACACACTTTTTCCCCGGTGGAAGTGAGAGCGTTCTCTAGATGGAAGGAGCTGGAGCAGAGAAGGAGAGGAGTCAGAGGAGAAGGCGCGATGTGCAGCTCCCACCAGCCCCACCAGCTCTGCTCTGAGGACAGCCCCAGCACCAACCAGTGGACTGACTACTTCAGGGGACCCCCTGGCTCCCCTCCCTGCTCCCTGACCCCTCACCTGCACCCCCTGACTGCAAAGAACTTCCAACCCACCTCTCTACAACAGGAGACACGGGCAGGGGCCCAGCTCAGACTACACATGACACCAGCTTCACTCCTTACTGGTGTGTGGTAGTAACGGAAAACCTCTGGCATACGAACAGGGATCTGCAGCTCTGAGCTGGGAGTGGGAGGGAAGGCGCTCACTGAGTTCTCTTTTACCCATCTGCAATCGTGGAACACGCGGATGCAGCCACTTTGTCGTTTTAGCTGTGCTCGGGAGGGTCAAACCCAGGCTTTTGTGCGCAGGCAGGCCCTTTACAAACTGAGCAATATTCTGTAGTATTACAAGTTTTAAAAGGACACCTCGATTCCTTGCCCCCCTCCCAAACTTCCTAGGCTCCTGGTGGGAAAGGCATTTAATTTTTAGCTACTTTAATAATGACTACAATTTACTGAGTACTTCCCCTCTATATGTAAGGACAAACTAAGGGCTGCTGTGGGTCTAACCCTCTGCACAGTAGAGGGTCTGGACTTTCTGGGGAGTGAGGGAGCAGGCCTGGGGACTCACTGGTACCAACTCTGGGCAGCCCTCTACCGCCTGGGCAGTTACAGGAATGCCGAGTGGATTCTTAGAAAGCTCCCGGCCGAGCCGCCTCACCCCTCCACCCCCACCTGGCAGCTTTTTTTTTTTTTTTTGCCATTCCTGGGGCTTGAACTCAGGGCCTGGGCACTGTCCTTGAGCTTCTTTTACTTAAGGCTAGCCCTCTACCACTTGAGCCACAGCACCACTTCCAGCTTGTTTCTGTGTATGTAGTACTGAGGAATCAAACCCAGGGCTTCATGAATGCTAGGTAAACACTCTACCACTAAGCCACATTCCCAGCCCTACAGGCAGCTTGGATAGAGCAGTTCTACTGGCAGGGGATTTTTGGTAAGAGCCCATGGCTAGAATCAACTGAGCTAACAGCCTCCTTGGGCTGACTCACACCCTAGTCATACGCATGGACAAACCACTGACGCACTGCACTGACCAACCGCACCTTGCGCGAGCTCAGCAGTGCAAGCTCTCCTTTGGGTAAAGGTTAGAATGTGGGCATGGGAGCAGGGAGTGACTGCCTGCACCTGAACTGGGCCTTGTCAGATGCCGGACTCACTTAGAACCATCCCAAAGCGTTCTACGTGCTGTACATCACATAAACCAGCTCACAAGACTACACCGCAGGAAGAGTTGTTAAAGATTTCACAAGCCCGTGCTGGTGGCTCAAGCCTGCAATCCTAGCCACCCAGGAGGCTGAGATCTGAGGTTCATGCTCCAAAGCCAGCCTGGGCAGTGAAGTCCATGAGATTCTTATCTCCGATTAACAACCAGAAAACCAAAAGTGGCGCTGTGGCTCAAGTGGTAGAGCGCTAGCCTTGAGCTGACAAGCTCAGAGACAGCACCCAGGCCCAGAGTTCAAGCCCCACAACTGACCAAAAACAAAAGACTTCACAGACATGACTTGTGCTGCATTATAGCACGGGCTGGTCATGGTGGCATGGAAGGCTACAAGGAACATGCAAGACCTGGTGTGTGCCTGGACTTTCTCTTCAAGAGCTTGGTAGGGAGCTAATCACTGACTAGCTGGTTGGTACCTTGGTTTCTCTAACGCTGTGTTTTACAGCTAGTTGGTTGTGAAAGCCATTCAGTGGGTAGCAACCAGAAAAAAAACTTTAATGGAAAGTATCAAGATGTATTAAACACAATTCGGTTAAGTTCCATTATGTGGGGGTTTTGTTTCAGTTACATTAGATAGATAGGTGTGAATAGGTCACCAGGGAAAATGAATTTCTTACTTCAGGATCTGACACAAACATGTGTAAAGCACTATTCTAGAATCTTGCTAACCAGTTCACTGGAGCGCAACCCTATGGCCCTCCGTGAACTCCAGAGCAGTCTTCACCGGTAAACAAAGTTAGAGAACAAAGCTCCAGCCTCACTCTGGGAGCGCCTGCTCCGGGCTGTTCACTGCTACCTACCACTCGCATTTGCTCACTAGAGGCCCACACTCCACCAGCCCCGGCCACTCACGGCAGGTGCATATCAGCTAGCAGAATCTTCACAATCATCTTGAGCTTCTCAGCAAAGTCAGTCTGGCTGGAAATCACAGGGGCTACCGTGCTGAACGTGACCAGCAACACAGCTCCCAGGATGGTTAGTTGCTCCAGCTGAAGCTGGAGCTCTTGGAAGCGACGCTGGTCCATCAAAACAGTCTATAAAGAACAAGAGAGAAATCATTGTCAAGCAGATTCAGGATGGCCAGCAGAGGGCAGCACAGCCCCAGCACAACCTGCCTCAGTTTTCCTCAGGATTTCCTAGTCTCTTCAGAGCCCTGGGTAGCTTTTGTAGCCTTTCTTTCCATCTCAGTGCCCTTCTTGCTGAGAAAGATGCAGCACAACACACTTGCTAAGAGGCTGAAGCACAGCTGGGTGTAAATTTGGACCTGATAGCCTGTGTCAAGCAAGTCTCTTTAACTCTGAGGCATATGTAAGACGGGGTTTCCTACCTTGCAGGGCCTGTGTGAAAGGTGGAAAAAATCACACCTGTAAAGTGGCTGGCAGAGCTAGCCTCCGTCCACAGGAGTGACAGCCATTAGAGGCGAAAGGGCACTGAGAACAAAGCTGGTCTGTCCCCGCAAACAGGAAGTCACCCTGCAGGGCACTGGAGGGAGGGGCTCCGTGAGGGCAGAGCCTATACTCACTCCCCTGGCCTCCCTCTGGGCACCCAACACAGAGGACACTCTCAAGAACTGGCAAGTGAACAATGACAATAAGAAAGAGCAGGGGACAGAGCAGGGCTGGAGCAACCACAGCAGCCTGGAAAGCGGCCGTCTGCGTCCACTGGTGGGAGCACTTGTCCCCTGTTACAGACGGCTGTGGTCCTGTGAGCCGGGGACAGGGAAAAGCAGCAGAACGGGGCTGGATCTGGGGACCTCAGATCTGAGTTTTCACAGGATAGTCAAACTTTAAGGAAGGAGATGCCAAATGAAGAAATCCACAACTGGGAGTTCAGAGCTCCAAGTTTCCAGGATGTAAAATGATCGCTGATGGGTGAGGACTCTGTCGTTAAACACCGCTCAGTATCATTTACCAACAGTGTCCTCTGCTACATCACAGTAATGGCGACAGTGAGCAGGGCTGGAGGACAAAGAAATTTTCAGGATGAATTCTAAGAACAGATGCCTCTGCCGGGCGCCGGTGGCTCACGCCTGTAATCCTAGCTACTCAGGAGGCTGAGATCTGAGGATCGCGGTTCAAAGCCAGCCCGGACAGGGAAGTCCATGAGACTCTCATCTCCAATAAACCACTAGAAAACCAGAAGTGGCACTGTGGCTCAAGCAGTAGAGTGCTGGCCTTGAGCTGAAGAGCGCAAGGACAGCGCCCAAGCCCAGAGTTCAAGCCCCACGAACCGACAAAAAAAAGAACAGATGTCTTTCCCCCAAGGAAAGCCCCATCTCCCCTCAGCCATTCTTTGAGAGGAATGTCAAGCCAAGAACTTCTCTCCAGAAGATCACAGGCCACTATTCACAAATGAACCCTTCCCTACAAACCCACACTCTTGTGAGCCCCTCCTCCAGCACCAACAGGGAACTCCGAGACAAGAAGTAAAATCTGAAACTTACAGGGTTTTTTGTTTGTTTTTGTCAATCATGGAGCCTGAACTCTGGGCCTGGGCACTGTCCCTCAGCTCTTCAGCTCAAGGCTAGTGCTCTACCACTTAAGTAACAGCACTATTTCTGGGTTTTTCTGCTTAGGTGGTGCTGAGGAATCGAACCCAGGGCCTCATGCATACAAGGCAAGCACTCTACCACTATGCCACCTTCCCAGCCTATGAAACTTACAGATTTTTTTAAAGTAGAAGTATAAGAAACTTATGAGAAAGGTATTTAGAGAAGTAGCAGGATGTAAGGCTAGAGATAGGAAGTACAAGCACCTTAAAAAAAAAAAAAACAGGGGGAGAGTTATTTCTGGATAAAATGGGGAACTCATTGTTTAATCAGCCCTTTAATAATTACTGCAGTACTTCTAGTGAAAAGGAAAAGAAGGCAAAAACATTGTACAGCCAGGAAGGGGAAGAAGTTTCTAAAAAGCTATACAGCAATACATAGTTGTGAGTTTTTTGTTTTTGTTTTTTAATTGAAACAGGCTCTTATTATGTAACTCAGACTGACCCTGGAACTCAGACCCTCCAGTCTCAAACTTCTGAGTGCTGGGAATACAGGTATGAACTACCACACCCAGTTCAATGTTGTGGTTTCAGTAAAGATGAAGATAAAAGCTAGGTAAGTGGCAGATGGCTAAGGCTGGAGGCACTTGGGTTGAGTGACCGGCCAGGGTTACTTGGTACTTAGCAACACCTGATTCAAAAAAACAAGGCCAGGGCTATAGCTCAGGGCAAGAGCACTTAACTAGCAGGTACAAAGCCCTAAATTCAATCTCTTGCATTGCTCTCCATCCCTAACCCTCAAAAAAAAGAAAAATTCAGCAACATAAATTATAAGTATTATAGTTGCCTGAAGAGCTGTAGAATGATGCCACTGCTAGTAGAGTCTTAAAAGGTTAACCTTAAAGTCGCCACGTAATCCTATAGTTCTAATCCTAATATGCAATTAAGAAAATTGCAAACATGGTCAAAAGTGAAAGCCCTGTACACCTGCAATGCTAGTTACTGGGAGGGAGAGCCTGGGGCATCATGTTCAAAGTTGGCTACAGGCACATATGCTTTGTCATCCTAGCTATGTCCAGAACATGGATGGGAAAATTGTGGCCCAGGCAAGCCCAAGCAAAAAAACAGAAGGAAAGCAAAAGGGCTGGAGGTGTGGGTTCTGCCCAATGAGAACAAAGCCCTGAGTTCAACCTCCATAACTGTCCTCCATCCTCAAGAAAGTAAAAACAACCTAAATGCTCATCAACAGAGAAATAAATAAAATGTGGTGTACCCACATAGTGGGATCCATTATTCAGTACCTAGAATGGTTACAGTAGTATACACACAGCTAGAGGGGTGGGAGGAAGACAACCATCTGATGGGTGGGGTTTTATAGTGCGGGACAATAGAGACATTCGGAGATGGACAGTGGTGATTGTTACACAACAATGTGAACGCACTCAGTGCGGCTTAACGGCACAGTAGCGATGGTAGAAGCAACTTTAAGGCATGTATATTTTACCACAATAAAAATCACAAGAAAAGCCAGGTGTGATGGTGCATGCCTGTAATCCTACCACTTAGGAGGCTGAGGCAGGAGGATCAGAAGTTTGGGACTACCTTGGGCTACATAGCAAAGTTCTGTCTCAAAACAAACACAAATGAAAGAAAAAAAGGGAGGGGGATAAAAGGAGCTGCTGATCCATGCTACAACATGGGTAAATAGTATGCTTCATAAGAAAAGCTTAGGGCTGGGAAGGTGGCTCAGTGGGAGAGCGCTTGCCTTGCATGCCTGAGGCCCTGGGTTCCATTCCTCAGTACCACATAAGCAAAAAGAAAAAAGCCGGAAGTGGCACTGTGGCTCAAGTGGTAGAGCACTAGCCTTGAGCTGAAGAGCTGAGGGACAGCGCCCAGGCCCAGAGTTCAGGCCCCACGACCAGACCCAAAAAAATAAAAAGAAAAAAGAAAAGCTTAGACACAAAAGGCCCCAACTGAATGATTCCAGAAATTTCCAGAAAAGGGAAATCCCCAGAGAGCAGGATATCAGTAGGGGGAAGGGAGTGAGGGAGAAAGAGTAGTGACTGTCAATGGGCATAGTTTCTTTTGGAGTGATGGAATGTTCTAAATTAAATAGTCATAGTTGTTTCATAATTGTGAAAATGCACTAAAATGCACCATGAATGTGAATTGTAGGTGAATTTTATCAGAATGCTACTCTAAAAAAAAATCCAGTGGCACAAAGAGAAGCGTGGGAGTTGGGCAGCACCTACCTCAGGGAAAGGCCTCCGAAGGTGGTCCCATTTCAGAAGCTTCAGGTATGCATAATTCTGGACAACCACGGGAGTCAGCGCGGGAGCATCTCCAGAGCCAGCAGCCTCTCCTGCAGCCGGCAGGGCATGTTTGTACTTCTGAGTCATGAGATCACCCGAGGCTTCTTCTAGCCACTGGGTAACAAAGTCTAGGGAGTCTGAAAAACAAAGCTGCAAAAATTATCCTGACACTTAGGGGGAATGCTTCTTGGAATTACTGTAGAGAATAAACATCACAACCAATAGCATGTGGTCTAGGCAAAATACCAGATTTAGGATGTAGACAAGTGTGCACCACTCACCTGCCAGACTGTTCTGATACAACACCTGGCAAGCCTTGCTGCCCACAGCTGCTTGACAAGCCTGCCTTCCTGCTCTGCCTATCCTGAGCACTGCATGCAATGTAGCTGGAAGCTGTGAAGAGTCCAGCTCTGTGAGATGGTCAGTTCTTGCCTAGAGACACAGGGGGTATAACCCGCTGGAGACAGCCCTGAGTAGCGTGTCCTTTGCCTTCTCTTGTCCACGTCTCACCCTCATCAGCCAGGATTCCCCACAGCTCAGTGTTTGATGTGAAGCCCAGGGTGCTGTGAGCACTGGGGAGCCACTGGTTGACCTTCATCTGCCAGCATGCTCCTTTTGCTTGTCTAAGCTGAGCTGTGCAGCAGATACCCTAAGGATATACAGAAAGAGCAGAAAGTTTGCCTCTAAGGGCCTGGAGGTATTGCAGTCTGCCCACAGAGCCCTCCATGAAGCCTAGTGGGCAGGCAGCGAGGCGGTAGCTTACCGTCCACTCCTCTGTTCTCTGCGGGCTCCTGATCCCCACAGCTCAGTTCATTTGGACTGCCAAACCATCTGGCCTATCTACCTTCAGCGTTCTGCAGACAGCATTCTCTGCAGTCACCAGCTTTGGAAATACTGAACTATACTGTTGAGAAGCACCAGGCTCTGACCGACAAGGACCATGGTGAGGCTTCCACTTTGGCACTTTCACCATATCTTGTCTCTCTGGTACCTCCTTCTAACACTAAGGCTCTTCAGCTTCCATACTTATGCCTCCTGCTGTCTCCTGAGAGGGACAATGTCAACTTCTTCTTACAACACTTCTACTGTGCTCTTCCTAACTCCCCCTGTTCCCATGCACCCCTCAGACTTCTCTGACTGGTACTGGAGGAGCCAACTGCTTGGGGCACTGGATGAACTAATCTGATCAGGCCACATGCTCTATCCAGACTGCCATTCTCATCTTGTCATCAATATAGCTGGACCCTGAATGGATTTCAGCATAAACTGTATCTGAAGACTGAAGTTTGCCCAGAACATCAACTACCAAAACAAAAACAAAACCTCACTCAAAATACAATATAATTTCACATTCTATACTCCTTTGCTTTCCTGCAGTATTCTGAGAGATTGAGAAAAATGGGACTTTTTTGGTTGGCACCATAACTCATGACTGAAAAGTATGGGGAGTGACTTAGGAGATGGAGTTTGGGAGAATGATCGTTCTGAGACAGCCTGGGCAAAAAGTACACAAGACCCCATCTCAACCAGTAAAAAGCATAGCATGGTGGTACACATTTGTCATTCCAACTACACAAGAAGTATAAATAGGAGAATCACATTTTAGGCTAGCTTGAGAAATAAATAAATAAATAAATAAAGCAGACTTTTCCTGGGCATGGAGAGAGACATGCATATAGACCAGAAATAAAGTGAAAGGTCTGCTATCTCCAATAAATAGGAGAAGACTAAATGAACTCACAAGAATTATGTCATCACTAGGCACTGGTAGCTCATGTCTGTAATCCTAGCTACTCCAAGGGTCCAAATCTGAGGACCATGGTTCAAATCTAGCTTGGGCAGGAAAGCCTGTGAAACTCTTATCTCCAACTAACTACAAAAAAATATCTGGAAGTGGAGCTGTAGCTCAAGTGGTAGAGCACTAGCCTTGAGCAAAAAACCTCCAGGACAGCACCCACACCCTGATTTCAAATCTTAGGACTAGCCAAAAACAACAACAACAACAACAAAGATGTCATGAAAATATAACTCAAACTGCTGCTTTCACTTAAAAAAAAAAAGAGAGAAGATTTTCACTTTTTCTTTTTTTTTCTTTCTTTTTTTTGTTGGTTGTGGGGCCTGAACTCTGGGCCTGGGCACTGATCCTCAGCTCTTCCACTCAAGGCTAGCGCTCTACCACTTGAGCCACAGCGCCACTTCCGGCTTTTTTTCTCTTTGCTTATGTGGTGTTGAGGAATCGAACCCAGGGCCTCATGCATGCAAGGCAAGCGCTCTACCACTGAGCCACCTTCCCAGCCTACTCTTTTTCATTTCTATACTCATGCCCTACCCATATTGCTTTTTGCTTGCCAATTAAGTTTTCTTTTTAATCCTGAACAATTCTCGATGTAGTCCTAACAGCTTATGTTTCTCCTTCTTCAAATTAGATTATTCTCATACATAATTTTAGTTTTGTTTTGAAAAAATATTGTTATTCAACAAGCCACAGCAACCAAAGTGAAAAAAAAATTTAAGAAACCACAAAGTATGACACATACTTGGCTGTTTCTCCAAAAACTCCTGGAACTTCTTCCTCTCGTATTCAACCGACTGCTGCATGAGGTGGGGCCGGATGCTAGTGATAGCAAAATTGGCCATGTCCATTTTCATTAGGTCCAACACAGAAAAAATCGCCCTGAAGGAAATAAGGATTTATAGCCAGGCACTTTTTAGATTAAGAAAAAAAAAAAAATTAGCCAGCTACCAGTGGCTCTCCTCTATAATCCTAGCTACTCCGAAGGCTTAGATTTGAGAATTGAGATTAGAAACCAGTCTGGAAAGACAAGTCTGTGAGACTCTTATTCTCGATTAACTTATACACCCAATTAACTACCAAAAAGCTGGAAGGGGAGCCTGTGGCCCAAGTGGTAGAGCACTAGCTTTGAGTGAAAAAGCCAGTATTATAGTGTGAGTCACCAGCTTTAGGCTTCATAAAACTTTTTTTCCTAGGTGCCAGTACTGAGGCTTGAACTCAGGGCCTGGGCACAGTCCCTGTGATTCTTTTTCTCAAGGCTAGTGCTCTACCACTTGAGCCACAGTGCCACTTCCAGCTTTTTCTAATTTTTTTTTTTTCTGTCGGTTGTGGGGCTTGAACTCTGGACCTGAAGGTTGTCCCTGCACTCTTCTGCAAGGCTAGTGCTCTACCACTTGAGCTACAGCGCCACTTCTGGTTTTCTGGTGGTTTATTGGAGATAAGAGTTTCACAGAGTTTCCTGCCCAGGCTGGTTTTGAACCATGAGCCTCAGATCTCAGCCTCCTGAGTAGCTAGGATTACAGGCGTGAGCCACCGGCACCCGGCTAATTTTTTTTTTTTTCTTTTAATCAGTTGTAGTGCCTGAACTCTGGGCCTGGGCACTGTCCCTCAGCTCTTCAGCTCAAATCTAATGCTTTACCACTTGAGCCACAGTGCCACTTCCAGTTTTTTCTGCTTATGTGGTGATGAGGAATCAAACCCAGGGCCTCATGCATGCAAGGCAAGCATTCTACCTCCTTCCCAGCCCTGAATAATTTGTTGGAGATAAGAGTCTCATGGACTTTTCTGCCTCGACTGGCTTTGAACTGCAATCTTCGGATCTCAGCCTCCTGAGTAGCTAGGAATTTAAGTGTGAGCCACCAATACCTGGAAAAACATTTCTTAATTTCCAGGAAAACTAAGCATTTACCCAAATACTAATTTCTCAGGCAGCATTATGTCACTTCTTTGCCTATTCTAGCTTAAAAATTAATGAAATCTGATCATAACTATATATATTGAAAATTAAATATTGGACTAGAAATACAGTTCAGTGGTGGAGCACTTGGCTTCTCACCATATCCAAAAACATTTTTTTTTGGGGGGGGGGGGTCTGGTTGTGGGGCCTGAACTCTAGGGCTGGCGCCGTCCCTCAGCTCTTCAGCTCAAGGCTAGCACTCTACCACTTGAGCCACAGTGCCACTTCTGGCTTTTTTCTTTCTGCTTATGTGGTGCTGAGGAATCGAACACAGGGCCTCAAGCATGCAAGGCAAGCACTCTACCACTGAGCCAACTTCCCAGCCCCAAAAAACATTTTTTTTAATATCCAAAAGATGAAACAAAAAATGTGTTACTAGAAAGATTTTTATTTTTCGGGTCATGGGGCTTGAACTCTGGGCCTAGGCGCTGTCCCTCAGCTCTTCAGCTCAAGGCGAGCACTCTATCACTTTGAGCCACAGCGCCACTTCCATTTTCCTGAGTGGTTTATTGGAGGTAAGAGTCTCAGGGACTTTCCCTGCTTGGGCTGGCCTTGAACCTCAATCCTCAGATCTCAGCTTCTTGAATAGCTAGGATTACCACTGGCGCCCGGCTAGAAAGATTCTTTTTTTTTTTTTTGGTCGGCAGTGGGGCTTGAACTCTGGGCCTGGGCGCTGTCTTTCAGCTCTTCAGCTCAAGGCGAGCACTCTATCACTTTGAGCCACAGCGCCACTTCCATTTTCCTGAGTGGTTTATTGGAGGTAAGAGTCTCAGGGACTTTCCCTGCTTGGGCTGGCCTTGAACCTCAATCCTCAGATCTCAGCTTCTTGAATAGCTAGGATTACCACTGGCGCCCGGCTAGAAAGATTTTTTTTTTTTTTTTTGGTCGGCCGTGGGGCTTGAACTCTGGGCCTGGGCGCTGTCTTTCAGCTCTTCAGCTCAAGGCGAGCGCTCTACCACTTGAGCTACAGCGCCACTTCCGGTTTTTCTGGTGGTTATTGGAGATAGGAGTCTTACGGTCTCTGCTGCCCGGGCTGGCTTTGAACCGTGATCCTCAGATCTCAGCCTCCTGAGTAGCTAGGATTACAGGCGTGAGCCACCAGCGCCCAGCTTAGAAAGATTTTTTATGTTAAATTTCTTTAATTTTTTTGGCAAAAGTTTAAATATATGTATTTATTTATATTTGTTTGTTTTAATTGTTGGTTGTGGAGCTTGAACACTGGGCCTGAGTGCTATCCCTCAGCTCTTCAGATCAAGGCTAGTGCTCTATCACTTGAGCCACAGCTCCACTTCGGGGTTTCTGGTGGTAAATTGGAGATAAGAGTCTCACGGACTTTCCTACCTAGGCTGGCTTGGAACTGTGATCCTCGAATCTCAGCCACCTGAGTTGCTAGGATTATAGGCATGAGTTACTGGCCCCTAGCTTAAATATACTTTTTAAATGACCATATTCTTGGGAAACAGTTGTTGAAATATTTAGGAGTAATATGGCACAATGTCTGCCACTAACCCTCAGAAAGTGAGAGGGACACTTACACAAACACACACACACACACACACACACACACACACACACACACACACACACACACACACACACACACACAAAGATACAGCAATGTGACATGAAAACTCTTGAACTGATGGTACTCTTCCTAAAACTTTCTTATAGGTTTGGCATTTTTCAAATGAAATGTTAAGAGAATGACGTATGAAATAGAAAAATCTGGCATCAACATCAAAATGAAACCAGTGATGTGGGTAAATTTCTTCCTTCTTCCTACTTTTCAGTATTTTAAGTCATGTTTGCTTTAGTTATGTTTTCAACGCATGAGTCTCTCCACTTCAGGAAGCTGAAATCTGAAAACAGGTTTTGCATTTGGCTGCCCAGTGACTGATACATTTCCATACCTGAACAGGGGCACTAGTTCCTTAATGTCCTTTAGTTTGTTAACTTCCTCATCTCGAGCAGGTGCACACAGTGTCCCCATCATGTCAATAATAAATTCTGCCAGCTTGGAAATGTCTAGGGCTCCATTTTCTGCTTCTTGCTTTATCAGATCCAGATCCAAGACTTCCGTTATCTGGTTTCTCAATCGAGTGTGACCAGGCAGCAAGAAAGATAAGAGAATCTTCAAGAGAGCACAGCGAAGTTTAATCAAAAGTTTCTTAGTCTGGTTTCCTTTTATAAAAAATTATTATAAAAGAGGGGCTGAGAAGGTGGCTCAGTGGTAGAGCGCTTGCCTTGCATGCATTGAGGCCCTGGGTTCAATTCCTCAGCACCACATAAGCAGAAAAAAAAAAGCCGGAAGTGGTGCTGTGGCTCAAGTGGTAGAGCACTAGCCTTGAGCCGAAGAGCTAAGGGACAGCGCCCAGGCCCAGAGTTCAGGCCCCACGACCGGACCCAAAAAAAAAAAAAATATAAAAGAAATGTCTCGGGGCTGAGAAGGTGCCTCAGTGGTAGAGCTCTTGCCTTGCATGCCTGAGGCCCTGGGTTCGATTCCTCAGCACCACATAAGCAAAAAGAAAAAAGCCGGAAGTGGCGCTGTGGCTCAAGTGGTAGAGAGCTAGCCTTGAGCTGAAGAGCTGAGGGACAGCATTCAGGCCCAGAGTTCAGGCCCTACAACCGGACCCCAAAAAATAAAAAATAAAAATAAATAAATAAATAAATGTCTGACTATTGAGATAAAGGTTTACCAACATATATTTTAACCTTTTACTAAACAAATTTATAGGGGAAAAAAAAAAAACAGAAGTCATTTAGAATAGCTATTGAAGCTCTAAATAACAATATTATATATTCAAGAAAAGACAATAATGGAGCAAAAAAACACATGAGCTAATCACTGATTTCAATTTCCACAGATTAATTCCTCTTTAATAATATTGTTAACAGCATTGCAAACAAGTCTTTTCCTCCCAAAACCCTTCTGTCCCAAAGACTGAATTAGTGTGTGTGTGTGTGTGTGTGTGTGTCAGAGAGAGGGTATACATGTGTGGCTTGAACACAGGGCTCTGTGCCCTCACTCTGCTTTTATGTTCACAGCTAGCATTCTACCACTTGAGCCACATCTCTAGTCAAACTTATAAGCCGATAAAATGGAGATAAGAATCTCTGGGATTTGTCTGACCAGGCTGACTTCATCCCTCAATCTAAGTTAGGATTACAGGGGTAAGCAACCAGCACCTGAAACTTTTTGGCCAAAATAACTGAATTGTCAATGCTTATTAAAATTTATGAATAATCTATATTTTATAAGTTCTGTTATTTTGAAACAATGATTATTAAAAACATGAACTTTTATTTTAAAAGAATAATGCTAAGGAGGCTGAGGAGCTGAGGATAACAGTTAAAAATTCATGAGGTTCTTATCTCCAGTTGGAAGGACTCTAGCTTCTGAAAGACAAAAAAAAAGCTGGAAATGGAGCCATGGCTCAAGTGGTAGAGCACTGGACTTGAGCAGAAGAAACCATGGGGCAGTATCCAGGCCCTGAGTTCAAGCCCCAGGACTGGCAAAAAAAGAAAGTAACACCTTCAGGTTTCTATAAACTGCTTAAAGTTAAAAAAAAAAAAAAAAAAAAGCACTAGGTCAAAATACTCATTTCAAATTTTGGGAAATAAATTGTGTTTGTGACCATAGATTTCTTTCAAGTCATTTGGAGAGCACACAGGTGAAACAAATGCCTTCAGCATCAGTAATAGCGCCGTGCTAGAACATTACCCTTGAGCACAAAAAGGCTCAGGGACAGTGCCCAGGCCCTGGGCTCAAGCCCTAGGACCGGTATTAAAAAAAAAAAAAAAAAAAGCCTATAATCCTAGTTACTTAGAGCACTGAGATCTGAGGATCACAGTTTAGAGCCAGCCTGTGAAGGAAACTCCAAGAGAGTCATATCTCCAATAAAACTACTCAAAAAAGCCAGAAGTGGCTTTGTGGTTCAAGTGGTAGAGCATTTGCCTTGTGCAAAAGCAGCTCAGAGACAGTGCCCAGGCCCAGCATTTAAGCCCCAGGACAGGCAAAACAAAAACAAAAACAAAAACCCCACAAATGCCTTCAGCAGCACTCTTTCATCTTTGTCTTACCTCTTTGATTTCTCCTACAAGTTTGATAGCATGGTCATACGTTGGGGGGTCTTCACTTAGCTGAGCACTCAAGCAATCCCAAAAAGCTTTATGTACAATCTCTTTTACTTTCTTCCGCAAGCTGGAGACAGTGGGGGAAAAAAGATAGAAACTAAAATATTGGGGCCTCAAATCATTTTCAAAATCAGTCGATGGGGATGATAGTAACAAATCTTTAAAATAAAAAAGGAACCAAGAAAGATTTTCCAGACAGATTCAAACTGATAACATACTTTAACTTTCAGTTTGTGATTAGGAGGAATCACTTACAGCTAATTTATTAACTAACATTGGTGCAATTAGTAGCTCAGAACAGTGTTAAATGATGAAACAACTATGAAAAATTAGGTCATTAATTTTTAGTTCCTGATAATAGCAACTTTCTAAGATTTAATTAAATAGTTTAAGATAACAATTCAACATGTTAGCAGTTGGAAGGACTCTTTTCTAAAAATATCCTATTCCCAGATGATAAACGGAATATTGCTTAACTAGGTACAAAACTGTATAATTTATTTATACCATTTCTTTCCTCCCCCTTTTTAAAAAAAAAAAATGGTGCTAAGGATCAAACCCAGAGCCACATGCATGCTAATACACACTACCATTGAACTACACCCAACTCACCAATTCTTCATTATTAACATGAATAAAAACTATGTTTGTAGGCATGTAGGCATATTAGAGGTATCTTGATGGATGTATTTAGAAACCTTCTGTTGGAGACAGAAACCATTTCTTCTGTTAGCAGAATGCCAGTGTTTTACAGGGCAGCATAAACTCTGACTATGAAAATGAATGAGGTCTGATCCTAACAAGTTCAACAGAGCTGATCCATTCCTGGTTGCCAGATTGAACATTTCTGGGCTCATTACAAGCTGGGGTAGATTGTGACCAAATCTAATGAACAAGGTATTATGGGATACCTGCTTTATGAATCCAAAGATAGATGTTTCTTCTCAGAAAAGGAAGACCCCAGTCCTCTCCCCAACTTGTCTGGAAAGCTGGTGTATAATGGAGTGCTTAGTAGCTGTGACATCTGTCCTGCAGCCATGAGGAACAGGCCAAGAAAGGGGCACACATACCAACCAGAGTCCTGACATCAGGGAACTGTTAAAGACATCTATATCCAGATTTCCTTGACTCTAACTGGAGATTAGATTCCTGGATTTTAATTGGAGATAAGAGTCTCATGAACTTTCCTACCCAGGCTGGCTTTGAACCTAGATCCTCAGATCTCAGCCTCCTGAGTAGCTAGGATTACAGGTGTGAGTCACCTGCACCAAGTTAACAATTCATTTTTAAAAGATTTATTTTAAAAGATACAACCAAGAGTTTTAGATTTAACTGAAACTGCTATGTCTTAGGTACTAGGGATTGGGAGAACACCCTCATGCTTATCTTCATGGAGTTTAAAATCTGGAATAGAGACAGGCGCTGGTGGCTAATGCCTGTAATCCTAGCTACTCAGGAGGCTAAGACTGGGGCTAGGAAGGTGGCTCAGTGGTAGAGTGCTTGCCTTGCATACATGAGGCCTTGGGTTTGATTCCTCAGCACCACATAAGCAAAAAAAGCCAGAAATGGCGCTGTGACTTCAGTAGTAGAGCACTAGCCTGGAGCTGAAGAGCTGAGGCCCAGAGTTCAGGTCCCACAACCAACAACAACAACAAAAAAAAGAGGCTGAGATGGGAGGATTGCAGTTCAAAGCCAGTTCAGGCAGGAAAGTCTCCAATAAACCACTAGAAAACTGGAAGTGGTGCTGTGGCTCAAGCAGTAGAGAGCTCGCCTTGTGCTGAAGAGCACAGGGAAAGCACCCAGGCCCAGAGTTCAGGCCCATGACCTACCCGCCCCCGCCAAAAAAAGAATCTAGACTAAAATGCAAGCCAGCCAACAACTGCAATACAAAGGAACAGATGGACAGTGCTCTGAAAAAAAGCAAAATAAGGCAGCTATGAATTGATATGAAAGTTATTTCTGACTTCCACACTTTATTTGCATACTGAAGTATCAAGATCCTAATTCCTAATCTAGGAATATTTTTAGCACTAGTGTACAACAGGGAAATGTACTTTAATATATAAGCATGACCAGAAGGAAACATTTCCAAAACTGGGCGGTGATAGTTTTCACAAAGTTAACAAGGTGAAAGCAGTGGCCATCTTACCTGTTTTCTGGTAATTCCACTGGTTTAAGCTGAAAGTCTCCATTGACTACAATTTCATGAGCTAGAACCATGTTGGTGATGCCTTTTGCTGTCTCTAGAAGTTCTTCTACTGCCACAAACTGAGGAGGACTGGCTGCAACAAAACCCAGGAAAGGGACTTAACTTCTCTCCCTAGAATTTCTGTTGAAATAAGCAAACCAGGTGCCCATGGCCCACTCCCATGATCCTACCTACTTAGGCAGCTGAGATCTAAGGTTCAAGGTTAGAAGCCAGCCGTGAGACTCTAATCTACAATTACCACCAAAAAAAGGCTGGAAATGAAACTGTAGCTCAAGTGGTAGAGTACCAGCCTTGAACAAGAAAGCCAAATAAGAGTGTAAGACCCTGAGTTCTAGTCCCAGTAAGAGCATAAAAAAATGTATCATAGTCTGGACTCTGGTGGCTTATGCCTAAGTCTGACTACTCAGGAATTTGAGATGAAAAGATCTAGGTTTGGAGCTAGCCAGGGCAGAAAAGTCTATGAGAGTCTTATCATCACTTAACTGCCAATAAGTAGAAAGCAGAATTGTGGCTCATGTGGGAAAGTGGTAGCATTTAGCACAAAAACCCAGGAACAGCATGCAGGCCCTGAGTTAAAGCCCCAGGACAGGCAAAAGAGAAGATTAATTAATTAATTAATTAAGAAGGTGGTAACTCTAATAAAAGGAAATCCTTTTTATTCTCAAATAGCAAGATAACTTTGGTTATTCTATTTTCCTTTTGATTATTGTATTTACGATCCTAAAAGTGGAGATCACTCACAATACTCAAAACATTTGATTTTCACTAAACAAGGTGAATGGAAAAATCATAGCAGTAAACTGAGACTGAAAACTTGTTACAAGTTTTCATTTTCCTAGTAAGCTGAGCATTTGTTCTAACCCCTCTGCTGCCTTTTTTTAACCCTACCTCCTGTTCTAACCCTTCTAATCCTTTTTCTTCTAAGAGAAAAAGCTGATTCTGGATTTAACATTTTCTTCTGCTTCCATCATCAGTTTTCTTCTCCCACTAACACTCTGTCATGAAAGTATCTCTCCAAATTCAACTAGCTTTAATGTTTTGGTGCTCCTTTTTTAAATTTTTATTCTTTTAGTAGTACTGAGGTTTGAACTCAGGACCTTGTGCTTGGCTGGCAGGTGCTCTACCACTTCAGCTATGCCTCTAGGCCTTTTTACTTTATTTGTATTTCTAATGAGCCTTGTGTGGTCTTAGAAACTACAACTTGAGAAGTGCTTCCCCTGGCAGATAATACAGTGACTTTTATATAATGATGAGATGTGGGCTTCAAATGAATCAGAGAAGCCAGTAATGGTTTGCCAAGGATTTAACAATTATAGAGTCATCTAGTTAGTGAAAAATAACTTTCCTTCTCTTCGTTTTTCTTTTCTTTTGCCCCTCTTCCCTCTGAGAAGGAACCAAATGTAAGAACTGCCATATCCTGTCTGGTAAACATCTTTATTTGGTCTCATAAAATGAGAAGTTGGGAAAATGCTCAAAATTCCTCCTCACAAAATTCTTCAGCATTTCCAGAATTATTAATAAAAATACAAAAACAAAGACTGGGTATGGTGACTGTGCCAGTTAACGTAGGTACTTGGGCACTACAAGCCAAGGTCAGCCTGAACAAAAAAGCAAGACCCTATCTGAAAAATCACTAACACATAAAAGGCTGGAAGTGTGGTTCAAGTGATAGAAAACTTTCCTCGCAAATGGAGTATCTTGAGTTCAAACTCCAGTACTGACTAAAAATAGTTGAATTGTCTTCATGTATATTAGTTGAGTATGATAAATACCAAACATCAAAATCCAGATATATCTTGTGTGTGTGTGTGTGTGAGTGTGTGTGTGTGTGTGTGTGTGCGCGCGCGCGCGCTGATCCTAGGGCTTGAACTCAGGGAGTGGGTACTGTCTCTGAGCTTTTATGTTCAAGGCTAGTATTCTATCACTTGAACCATAGCACCATTTCTGGCTTTTTCTGAGTGGTTTATTGGAGATACGAGTCTTATAGACTTTCCTGTCCAGACTGGTTTCAAACCATGATCCTCAGATCTCAACCTCCTGAGTAGCTAGAATTATGAGTGTGAGCCACTGGCAACCAGCTCAGATATATCATTTTAATTCTTAGGTATATCATGTTAATATCATATTATGAAGATATCAATTTTCTCCAAAATCTGTTGGTTAAACATATCCTAATCAAAACTCCAAAAGTCAAAATTTCTGTGGGAATGACCAAATTGATTCTAAAATTCATGTGGAAAGGTAATAGAAAAAAAAATTTTAACCCACTTTGAAGAGAATTGGAGGGGTTATAATAAATGGTTTTAAAACTTAGTATAAAAGTACAACCATCAAGGAATACGTTCTGGGTGTAAAATGTAAAATGATGCACTCACTTTGGAAATCAGCTTGGAGCTTATCAAAAGTAAAAGATAGGGCTGGGAAGATGGCTCTGTGGTAGTGTGTTTGCCTTGCACGCCTGGGTTCGATTTCTCAGCACCACATAAGCAGAAAAAGCCAGAAGTGGCACTGTGGCTCAATTGGTAGAGTGCTTGCCTTGAGCTGAAGAGGTGAGGGACAGCACCCAGGCCCAGACTTAAGGCCCCACGACTGGCAAAAAAAAAAAAAAAAAAAGTAAAAGATAGACTAACTATATGACCCTAGATCTTTACCCAAGAAATTAGAAAATATATGGCTATGTAAAGACTTAGAACCCAAATGTTAATAGGTGCTTTACTCGTAACAGTGAAAACCTGAAATTATTCTAAATGTCTATCAACTTCAGAAAGGATTAAAAAAAATTGTGTATAACCACACAATTGAATACTACTCAGCAATAACAAGGAATGACCCACTGATACATGTGAATTTCATGCTTTTTTTGTGGGGGGGGTTCAGTCCTGGAACTTGAACTTAGGGCCTGGGCACTGTGCCTGAGCCTTTCTGTGCTAAAGGCTAGCACTCTACTTGAACTACAGCGCCACCTCTGGCTTTTTCTGTTTATGTGGTACTTAAAAATCAAACCCAGAGCTTCATGCATGCTTGGCAAGTACTCTACCACTAAGCCACATTTACAGCCCACACAGATGAATTTCAAAAGCATTATCCTACAATAAAAAGTCAGATATAAAAGACTATATTCACTAGGATTCCCCAAATATGAAATTGTAGGAAGGACAAGATGATAGTAACAGGAAGCAGATCAGTAGTTACCAAAGGCTGTTGGTACAGAGAAAAGATTTGTTGCCGAGGGACACGAGAACTGTGGGAGATGACAGACATGTTCAAGCAGTTCATGATTGTGGGTCATAGGCTGGAACTTCTAAACCATAAGCCAAAGTAAACTTTTTCTCTTACCAAGCTGATTTACCTAAAGTAATTGTTGCAACACAAAACTAACTAGACTAACAAAGCCTGGTGCTGGAGGCTTATGCCTATAATCCTAGCTATACAGAAGGTTGAGATCTGAGGATCCAGGTTCAAAGCCAGCCCAGGCAGGAAAAGTCCATGATACTCTTATCTCCAATTAACCACCAGAAAACCGGAAGTGGCCCCATGGTTCAAAGTGGTAGAGTATTATCCTTGAATACAAAAAGATCAGGGACAGCACCCAGGCCCTGAGTTCAAGCCCCAGGACTGACAAAAAACAAGCAGCAAGAAAGAAAGCAAGTGAGAAAAGAGAGAGAGAAAGAGAGAGAGAGAAAGAGAAAGACAGAAAAGAAGTAATCTGTCTTAACCACTTAATCTCTTCCTAAAAACCTCATTTTCCAACACTCCCACAATAACCATCCACTATCCACAGGAGTTCTAGAGGAGACAAGGGTACTCAAGCCAAAGTAGAGCTAGTCCAAGCTTCTGTAGGGCCCTTCTAGGTTGTGTCTGGAAGACTGCCCCAACCTAAAAGTTCTACCACCTCCCCAAGTTCCCCAAATGCCATATGCTGGGAAACAAGTTTTTTTTTTTTTTTTTTTCTGGGTCCGGTCATGGGGCCTGAACTCTGGGCCTGGGCGCTGTCCCTCAGCTTTTCAGCTCAAGGCGAGCGCTCTACCACTTGAGCCACAGCGCCACTTCCGGCTTCTTTATGCTTATGTGGTGCTGAGGAATCGAACCCAGGGCCTCAAGCATGCAAGGCAAGCCTCTACCACTGAGCCACCTTCCCAGCCCGAAACAAGCTTTTTTTTCAGTGGTTCTACTGAGGTTTGAACTCAGGGCTTCACATTTACTATGCACACAGCTACTACTTGAGCCACACCTCTAGCTCTTTCTGCTCTGGTTATTTTTGAGATAGTGCCTCCATTTTTTACCAGGTTAACCTGGAACTGAGATCCTTCCCACCTCAGCTTCTTACGTAGTTGTGATGAAAGGCACATACCACTGTGCCAGCTATTAGTTGAGATGGGTATTGTGAACTTTTTGACTGGGCTGGCCTCAAACCATGATCTTCTCAATCTCTGCCTCCCTAATAGCTAAGATTACAGGCCTGAGCCACTGGCAACAGGCTTGGGTCCAAGTTTTAACACATGAGCCTATGGAGGATATTTCATATCCAAATGACAGCACACCCACATTACAGCAATCAATCCTGGCATCATTAACAGATACATATTAGTAGTAACAGTAATACCCACTGATATTTATTGAGCATTTATAACATGCTAAGCACTAGCCTAAATACTTTCCATGAATTCATTTAATCTTTACAATGACCCTACAAGACAGGTATATATCCCTTGCTTTAAAGATAGAACAAACAATAGGAGCTTCCTAACTATGTATTACAGATAAAGTCTAATAGCTGCACAATAGATGATGCTATTAATAAAGCATGATTTCCTGGACCCAGTTTAACCTTGTAGCTTATCAAATATAAATGATACCACATAAATTGGGTTGGCTAGTGTTTGCCATAAAAATACTATGCTGTCTAATAAACTACCTGGGAAAGACTTTGATCACTTTAGAAGAAACACACCTCAAAACCCAAAAATGCTTGCAATTCTTCCAAATACGCAAAATTACTGATCATCTCTACTTTAAAGAGATAACATCAACACAGACAAATGCTTAGACTATGACACTCCACCTTAAACTTTCAATCTTGGACTCACTTCAAAAAGCTTAAATATTCTTAATAAAACACATGAGTTGAGGCAACTGCTGGGAAGACACCGAAATTGCCACCTTTCATCTCTGAGACTTGCTCCCTGCCAGAGATCTGAAATGACTTCACCCACTCACCGAACAAACTGAATCTCCTACCTGTGGGAACTAAACCCTGGGCATGACTTTAGGGTGTGAACAATTCACATGCCCTTCCAAACCTGCACAAGCACAGTCCAGACTAGAATTAGTCTCAGACTTTTCACTCTTTTAATTCTAGCTGTTGTTTGCATTCCACCATCCTGTTTCTCAGAGCCCTACAGAGAAACCTGAATGCCAGAGGCTAGAGAAAAGATGGGAACATCCTGGACGTGGTCCTAACGTTTAACTTCTCATGCAATTGAAAACCCTCAAGGTTGCCAGTTGAGAAACTGTTGCTTTTCTTAAGTTCTAATTTAGTTCAGAGACCCATGCACAAAGAAGCCTAATTAAAATATCAACTGAAAACAATAACTGTGTTTAACCAAAATCAAATTTGCTTACAGTGAGGTCTTTGCATTCTTTGTGGACTAGCAGAGTCTGAATTTATTTGTTTCTGTAAAACTTCATCAGAACATTCCAGAGCACCTTCCAGGCCTTGCTCAGAATCATTTGATTTTTCTGCTTCATCTACATGAGATTTGTCAAGGTTTTCAGACATTCTCAATTAAGTTTATTCACTGTCCTAGGAAAGAAAAAAAAAAAAAAAGTGAGCCAAAAGTATTCTGTCACTAATTAGCAGGGTGACTGGGAAATTGTTATTCTTTTTAGTTTACTTGTCTGTGAAATAAATAGGTTTACTAAGATCTTATCCATCTACTGTATCCATCTATTGCATAGTATCTGTTTGGTGCTACTGGGGTTTGAACTCAGGACCTCAGGCTTGGCAGGAAGAAGGTGCCATACCACTTGTCATGCCTTCAGCCCATACAATATTCTAATTCAGTGACTAAACAGATCATTGTAAAATGACATTTGTAATTTACCATATTTATAGACCTCAGATAAAGAACAATAGTTCAAGTATTTTTTTTCCTACTCCTGAGTAGCATGTATAAGAACACATGGTCTTGGGCTGGGAAGGTGGCTTAGTGGTAGAGCGCTTGCCTTGCATGCCTGAGGCCCTGGGTTCGATTCCTCAGCACCACATAAGCAAAAAGAAAAAAAGCTGGAAGTGGCGCTGTGGCTCAAGTGGTAGAGCGCTAGCCTTGAGCTGAAGAGCTGAGGGACGGCACCAAGGCCCAGAGTTCAGGCCCCACAACCGGACCCCGTCCCCCCCCAAAAAAAGAACACAAGGTCTTAACAGAAGACAACACTATATAAGCTGCCAGCTTCTATTTTAATCAAAAGGAATGTCTCAATCTTACCTTTTTTTTTAAAACAGGGTCTCACTAGTCTAAGGTTCACCTTGAATACACAACCCTCCTGCCTCAACCTCCCAGTGCTGGGATTACAGGTGTGTACTATCATTCCCAGCTCAATCTTCAATTCTTTTTTGTTTTGGTGCCTGTCTGAGAGCTTGAACTCAGGGTCTTATGGACTGTCTATAGGCTTTTGGGCTCAAGGCTGGAGATCTACCATTTGAGCCACAACTTCACCTTAAATTCTTTTGAACTAGTAAACTGATTAAAAAAAAAAAACACTTGAAGAGTATGCTTATAATGACCTTCTAATAAATTTGGCTAAAATGGCTCTTTGACCTTATCATGTATAGCTTGGGATAATAAATAGAAATACTGTATGAACTTTAAGTGTCAAAAACATGTGGGGTAGGTATTTTTATTAGCTTCCTATTTATTCCTTTCAGTCAGTAGGAAAAGACCACACTTAAAAGTAAGAAGTTGAAGACAACCATTAATGTATGTGACTGGATGAAATTTTCTTGATACTTGGGGCCAGTGAGTAAAATCATCTTAAGCACATGTTTTTTTCTTCTTTTTTTGCCAGTTGTGGGGCCTGAACTCTGGGCCTGGGCACTGCCCCTCAACTCTTTAGCTCAAGGCTAGTGCTCTACCACTTGAGCCACAGTGCCACTTCGGGCTTTTTCTGCTTATGTGGTGCTGAGGAATCGAACCCAGGGCCTCATGCATGCAAGGTTAGTACTCTACCACAGAGCTTCTTTTTTTTTTTTTTTCTTTTTTAAATCAATTGTGTGTCTTGAACTCTGGGCCTGGTCGCTGTCCAGGCTAGTGTTCTACCACTTGAGCCACAGTGCTACTTCCGGTGTTCTGGTGGTTAATTGGAGATAAGAGTCTCATGGACTTTCCTTCCTGAGCTGGTTTTGAACCATGATCCTCAGCTCTCAGCCTCCAGAGTAGCTAGGATTATGGGCGTGAGCCACCAGCACTGGGCTCAGCACATGAAAATTCTGATCAGGTTATTTTTTTTTTCTCCTGGAGCTTTCTATTCCTACGGTGTTTCTAATTAAGGGAGAAGAAACATATGATGTTTCTGCATTACTGAAAATAATTAACATTTGTACAATTAGCACCAGAAGATCACAAAACAATATCATAAACATTAATTAGACTGTTATTACACAGCTAGAAGGTAATCACAGGATCAAAAGAAATGTGGGTAGCTTCAGGGAAGTTTGGCCCAGTAGACAAAAAGGACTCACTGGCGTAATTATTTAAAATTCCAGAGACCTCCACAGAAATAGAGGGCCAAAGGGTGAACAAATGTAGCAATGGTACTCACTGGATACTACCTTGAAAATGAACTATACAAGTTTTGGGTAAGGATAGGGGTGGGAAAACTGGGAGAGTGGGAGGTTAAGGGGTGACACTGTCCCAAAAGAAATGTACTCTTACCTGACTTATGTAACTATACCCCTCTGGTATATAATAACAAGAAAAAAATTTAATAACAAGAAAAAAATTAAAAACAATTCAGAGACCTCCATTAAATAGAACGAAGTTATGCTGGACTTGAAATTTTGGGGGTCTGTATTGTAATAAGAAGGTTGTTTTAAAGTATTTCATCTTTCTAAACCAACTTGTCTTCTGATACCTATCTGCTCATTATCCTAAATCTTACTAGGGTCTGAAAATACTCCAAGATCCAAAGGATAACATTACCAGAATATTCTATGAGAAAAGGACAAACAAAACCACTTCTAATTTTATTCTCTCTCACAAGCTTGGGAAGCAGCCCAGAAAAGGTGAAGGAACTCATTCAGCACAGTAAGGAGAAAGGTAAGACTAGGTCTCTCATGCTCAACTCAGTAAACTAACCTCCTCCTCTTAGGATTCAGCTCAAGTCCTGTTTCTTCCCAAGGCACTTCCTCCAACCTCACTAGTATCTGCACTTTTTAGACTTTGGTACTCATCACTGCCTTAAGTTTGATTCAAAACATGTTGATTTAAATAGATATACAAAGATGAAAAACTGCAAGGAAGACAGAGCTGCTCACAGGGATCTATGATGAAAGTTCAACTTCAGTGGCATTATGAAATTATTATTAGGAATAACAGAGGAAGAAACTACTTCTGTCCATGAGGAGGTTGGGAAAAATCCTTCCCAGAAAAGATAGCATGTGAGCCAAGAGCCAGGGTAATGGCCTATTGCCTGTAATCCCAGTTTCTCAGGGCTGCATAGGTTGGACAAGATTCTGCCAAATAACACTCCCCCCCACCCCCCAATAGAGTAGAGTAGCAATTTCCAGGACCTGAGTTCAAACTTGGGGAGGGGAGGAAGGAGGAGATGAGCCAGTCTTTGAAAGGAGAATCTTACTCAGCTTTGTATGGAGAAGGAAGCTGAGATTACTGACATGAGTAATCCTAGCTACCCAGGAGGTTGAGATGTGAGGATCATGGTTCAAAGCCAGTGCAGGAAGGGAAGTCCATGAGACTCTTACCTCCAATTAACCAGCAAAAAGCCAGAAGTGGAACTGTGGCTTGAGTGGCAGAGCCTCATTATTGAGTGAAAAAGCTCAGGGTTGGCCCTGAATTCAAACTCTAGTACCCATACAAAAATGAATGAGCCAGCCGGGCACCGGTGGCTCACTCTTGTCATCCTAGCTACTCAGGAGGCTGAGATCTCAGGATCGCGGTTCAAAGACAGCCTGGGCAGGAAAGTTCGTGAGACTCTTATCTCCAATAAACCACCAGAAAACTGGAAGTGGCGCTGTGGCTCAAGTGATAGAGGGCTAGCCTTGAGCACAAAGAGGCTCAGGGTTAGCTCAGGCACTGAGTTCAAGCCCCAGGACTGACAAATAAATAATAAATGAAAAAAGAGGGAAAGAGAAAGAGGAGGTGAAGAGGGTCAATTCACAGAGCGGGCAGAAGGCAATGGGGATGGGAAGGTGGATGGGGCCAGTTGAAAAGTGTTACTCTGTATATTTTTTAAATTCTTCACCTTGGTTCTGAAATTCTCAAGTCAGAACCAGCTACCTTCCCCACACATGCGCACTCCAGGTAAAAACACCCTGTAAACAAATGCTCAATAAGTACGAATTGCCAGTCTCGTCGGGCACTTGGGGGGACTTGCAAGTGGGGTCTCGGAGGTAACTTGAGTCCAATTCTGCCTCTTTGCTGGCGGGGTGACTTCAGTGCTCTCTGGAGGGTAGATCAAGCCGGGATGGTGCCTGCCCTAATCTGGCACCCCAGCACCATCCTTACTACAATGAAAGATACTGTGGGGGTGCAGCACGCCAGGAGCCATTTAACTGCTCATTCATTCCCCATTTCCCAATCACCAACCCCTACAGTGCCCGGAGAAGAGCCTCCGTGTGGAGGGGTGCTGTCTGGCTGCGAAGACCCCCCCCCCCGAGGTGGACGCGGCCCGCAGACCTGGGAGAGCCCCCCGCAGAAGGGGCCAGGCCTCCTCCCGGCGCCGCGCTTCCGTTGTAAACAGCTGTTGGGGCCGGCGAGGGAGTGGCGAGCCCGGGACTGGGCGCTGGGACGGCGGCCTGGAGGGTGGGCCTCGGTCCGGCCCCGGCCCCAGTTTCGCCCTCTCCTCCTCCCGACCTTACCCGACTCCAACCCGGCGGAAAAGGGCCCAGAAATGCCTGTGTTTCCGACCTCGCGCCTCCCCGGGCGGGGCCCGCCGGCTCCGCGCCCGCTCGCCTCACCTGCCGCGGCGTCGGCGTTCACCCTCCGCTGCTCCCGCCGCGAGTCGGGCGGGGCGGGCGGCGCGACGGAGGCGGGAGCGGCGCGCGGCGGGCCGGGCCGGGCCGGCTTAGTCTCCGCGGCTCTGAACGCTCGCCGCGCTGCCCGCGGTCCTCTCTGCCCGACCGGAATGGGCCAGGGCCGGGAGCGACTGCTCTTCAGAGTCGGGAAAGGGAGGCTGTGGTTAGTCCGGCAAGCTCGTTCCCACCGCAGGGAGGCGCCATGTTGTCGTACGGAGTCTTGGCGGCCCGGGTGCTAGCTTGTGAAGGGACCCGGGTGGTCAGCGGTGGCTCGGAGCTGGACGGCACTGCGTATCCGCTAGGAAAGGCGGGAAGCGGGCCGGGGGCCGGCTGAGGGGACGCAGCGGGCGGTGGCTCGGAGCCGGGGCCTGCGGTCCCCTCGGGGAGGCGCCATGTTGCTGTACGGAAAGGCGCGGCGGGGCGGGCGCCGAGTCCATCCAGTGACGGGAAGGGAGACGCGCCGGCGGGATATGAGTCTTGTGGGTTTGCGGGGCTTGTTCCCGAGCCACGCCCAGCACTGAGAGCCGGAGCCCGCGGCACCGCGGGGGGGTGTTGAGTCTTTACTGGTTGAGGTTGCTGCACCTCACGAACGCCCGAACTAAGAGCGGGGCCCGGGCGCCGGGGCCTGGGCGCCGGGGCCTGGGCGCCGGGGCCTGGGCGCCGGGGCCTGGGCGCCGGGGCCCGGGCGTCGGGGCCCGGGCGCCGGGGCCGCCGCGCTCGGCCCCCCGCGGGTCGCTCCTGAGCCCGGCGCGCCCCCAGCGTCTCCTGAGGAAAACGGATCCGGATGCGTCGCCGGAGGTGTGGGTCGCGGGAGCTGGTCCACCCGTGGCTGCTCCGAAGCCGTGAGGCGCTGCTGCTGCGCTCGCCGGCGGTAAAGCAGCGAGCTACCCGCAGAGAAGGCTTTGGCGACCTGGCCCGGTCTTAAATCCTGAAAAGACGTGGAGTCTTAGCTGTTGTGTTGGAAAACGCGTTTTCAGAGCGGAGCACGGATGCATGCCTTAGCATGAAGGCAGGAAGTCGCCCTCGCCTGCAGCTCTGGCTTAACGAACTGCAGGCGCAGCTAACGCCTGAAACCCTGCCCAGTGGCGAGGAGTTACTCCTGGAGGACGGAAGACCTCGGGGCGATCCAGCACCCACCAGCACCCCGCTGCTGCTGCTTTAAAAACTGTCCTGTAAAGCTGATGTACAAATGGGTTTGCGTTAATGAGTACACTTCTCGTCGTGCATTGTTCTCCCACTATCCCTGCCCTCCCCAACCTTCTTCTTCTTAAAGAAATTTAAACAAAATTGGACCACCTGACATCCTAGCTACTCAGGAGGCTGAGATCTGAGGATCGCGGTTCAAAGCCAGCTCGGGCAGGAAAGTCCGCGAGACCCTCATGTCCAATTAACCACCAGTAAACCCGAAGTGGTGCTGTGGCTTAAGTGGGAGAGTTCTCTCCTTGAGCTGAATAGTTCAGGGGCCGCACCCAGGCCCAGAGTTCAAGCCCCACGACCTACCCGTTCCCTCCCCCCCGCCAAAAAAAAGAAAATCGTGACTGGGAAGGTGGCTCAGTGGTAGAGGGCTTGCCTAGCATGCATGAGGCCCTGGGTTGGATTCCTCAGTACGTACCACATAAGCAGAAAAAGTCAGAGGGGGCACTGTGACTCAAGTGGTAGAGTGCAGGCCTTGAATAAAAGCAGCTCAGGGACAGTGCCTAGGCCCTGAGTTCAAGCCCCAGGACTGACAAAAAAATATCACTTTAGGAGAAAAAATGAAAAAACCCTCACATACTCAATTAACTGGACTTGTTAAGATTCACAAAGAGGGGGCTGGGAAGGTGGTTCAGTGGTAGAGCGCTTGCCTTGCATGCCTGAGGCCCTGAGTTCGATTCCCAGCACCACATAAGCAAAAAGAAAAAAGCCGGAAGTGGCGCTGTGGCTCAAGTGGTAGAGTGCTAGCCTTGAGCTGAAGAGCTGAGGGACAGCGCCCAGGCCCAGAGTTCAGGCCCCACAACCGGACCCAAAAAAAAAAAAAAAAGATTCACAAAGAAAATAGCAAGCTGACTTCTGACTGGAGTCATGTTTCTCAACATTAGGAGAAGCAGTGATTCTAAAACCATCATGTGAAACTAGGAATGATGCTATGGAACAGAGATTATATTGAAAAGCCTAGAGCCAGGCACTGGTGGCTCATGATTGTAATCCTAGCAACTCAGGAGGCAGAGATCTCAGGATCATGATTCAAAAGCCAGTCCAGGGCAGGAAAGTCCATTAGACTTCAATTAGCCACCAGAAAACTCATAGTGGCCCTGTAGCTCTTACATGGTAGAGTGCTGGCTAGTCTTGGGCAAAAAGAGCTCAGGAACAGTACTCAGGGCCTGGGTTTAAACCCCACAACAACAACAAAAAACTCTAATGAATCTAATGTGTAGCTAGGGTGGAACCACTTCATTTTCCTAGTGACCTCGCTACCTTCCTTGAAGGATTTTTTTTTTGATTGGTTGTGGGTGCTTGGGAGCATTCTCCCTGAGCTTTTTTGCTTAGTAGCACTATACCACTTTAAGCCAGAGCATCATTCCCGGTTTGCTGGAGGTTAATTGGAGATAGAGTCTCAAGAACTTTCCTGCCCATGCTGGCTTCAAATTGTGATCCTCAGACCTCAGCTTCCTGAGTAGCTAGGGTTACAGGCATAAGCCACTGGCTTATTTGAAGAAAAAAAATGTTTTTTTGGCCAGTCCTGGGGCTTGAACTCAGGGCCTGGGCACTGCCCTAAGCTGCTTTTGCTCAAGGCTAGCACTCTACCACTTGAGCCACAGTGCCACTTCTAGCTTATTCTGTGTATGTGGTACTGAGGAATCCAATCCAGGGCTTCATGCATGGGAGGCAAGCACTCTACCACTAAGCCACATTCCCAGCCCTCCTTGAAGGATCTTTTTTTTTTTTTTGGGTCAGGTCATGGGGGCCTGAACTCTGGGCCTGGGCACTGTCCCTTAGCTCTTCAGCTCAAGGCTAGTGCTCTACCACTTGAGCCAACAGCACCACTTCCGGCTTTTTTCTTTTTGCTTATGTGATGCTGAGGAATCAAACCCAGGGCCTCATGCATGCAAGGCAAGTGCTCTGCCACTGAGCCATCTTCCCAGCCCCTGAAGATCTTCTATAACCAAATTTTTTTTTTTTTGGTCAGTCATGGGGTTAGAACTCTGGGCTTGGGCGCTGTCCTTCAACTCTTCAGCTCAAGGCCAGTACTCGACCACTTGAGCCACAGCGCCACTTCTGGTTTTCTGATAGTTTATTGGAGATAAGAGCTTCATGGATTTTCTTGCCTGCGATGGCTTTGAACTGTGGTCCTCAGATCTCAGCCTCCTGAGTAGCTAGGATTACAGGCATGAGCCACCAACGCCCGGCTTCTATCACCAAGTTTTACTTGGTAAGGACACTAACAATCTTTTGATATGTTTTGAAGACTGTTTAAATATAACACATGTTCATTTGATCTTTGGCTTCCTGGACTGGAAAATTCAACTCACCTCTGGGTAAAAAGGAATTCACTGCCAAGCTACAGAGACTCGGGAGGAGAAACGCGGTAGCTGCATTGGAGGTAAGCTGCTAGAGCCAACCCCCTAGAATACAGAGTTTCTCTTATTTTTCTTCCTGATGTCTGTTAATTCTTGCTCTATCATAATTTAGGTTTACTTGTATAAAATTTGATCAGACTGATTCTTGTGTGAAGTCTCATTAAGCCTACAGAGGCTGCCTTTGGTTGAATTGCTTAGCCTTGGTTTACTCTGCTAGGATGGTGGCAAAGCTCATATCACCTCAGCACCAAATATACACGTGGGCCTGGGGCCCTAAGAAGGCATCATAGATGGAAGAATAAATGAGGACATACAACTCTCAGTAACTGACAGTGCCAGTCACTCAGGATTATGCAAGGTATTTGAGAGGTAGTGCTGGGCCTGTGATTTAAAATTTTGACACTGCTTAAACATGATCCTATTTTTTTAAACATCCTATTCTTGCTTATGAAGTTTGAAATAAACTATTGTTTTACTGGATTTTTCCCATGAAATTAGCATTGTAAAGAATGCTGCTTCAAAGCTGGAACATCACTGATCTGTTACTTATGCCTTTCCCTGAAGGCATTAGTTTTGGTTGCCAAATAATCATGCTGTAATTATGTGAAAAAACAAAGATTGCAAACTGGACTGCACAAACAATTGCTCTGCCAACTATGAGGATCTCAGAAAACTTCCTCTCACTTAACTCAAAAACTACCTTTTCTTTTACCTCATTGTAAAAAAACTACAAAAAAAGTGCCTCTCCCGGCTCCAAATTATGAGAGAAAAATCTAACTTTCCCTGATTTATTAGGGAAACTTATCATAGATATAATTATCAGTCCTTATCTTCTGCCATTTGAAGGCAGTATGTTTTATCAGAAAATAACTCATATGCTAGCATATTGCTGCATCATTCATATTTCCTAACCTCTCATTAAAAGTCTAAGTTAAAATATAAAATTTATCCTATTATATACAAAAAGTTGCCAGGCAATGGTGGCTCACACCTATAAACCTAGCTACTCAGGAGGCTGAGATCTGAGGATGACTGTTCAAAGCCATCCTGGGCAGGAAAGTCTGTAAGGCTTTTATTTCCAGTTAACCACCAGAAAACCAGAAATGGTGCTGTGGCTCCATGGTAGAACACTAGCCTTGAGCTACAACCAACAACAACTACAAAAAAGAGTGTACATTTCAAATTATATTGTATTTTTGGAGTAGTATTAGGGTTTGAATTCAGGGCCTTTGTGCTCACTAGGCAAGCACTCCACCACTGGACCCATAATTCCAGCTTTTTTTTTTTTTTGCTCTGGTTACTTTTGAGATAGGGTCTTGCTTTTTCTGCTCAGATCAGCCGAGACCATGATCCTCTTATTTATTTTTGTCAGTCATGCAGCTTGGACTCTGT